TGTTTCCTTCACCGCCATAGCCCACGATCCATACTGGTCGTGTACATTTTTTGGTCCTTCGAGCCGGATTCACGGCAATCAGTTAATATAAAGATTTAAAGTGAAAGTAATAAATATTGGAATACAGTCATATGGTGTGAAGGAAGGCACGAAGTAACATAGAAACAAAACTTTGTACAGTGCAGTTTGCAAAATCGTTTTCTTTTCTCGTGAATTTTTCATACGATTATAATCATGAGGATTGAACATATAATTAGTAAGATAGAGCAGCTTCTAGGGCTCAGTAAATCAATAACTGATTCTTATAATAACTTGGTAAGGATTGGCTTGACTAACATCACCAATCAACGTATTCACAATCGGCTGTCAGACCTCAAAGAGGATTGGAATCAGTTCTCTCTAATTCATGATGCTATTTCGATTTCAATTCCTGAACTTTTAATTGAAGAACAAGTAGAAGTTCATAATCATTCGTATTTTGATGAAAATGTATATAATGCCACTAAAGAGGGTTATCTTGAAGCGCTTGGAAAATTTATTTCCCTGCTTGATTTGGATCGGGCTTCGGTGACTGGGTCATCATCTACACAAACGATCTCTCTTCCTAGTACCAGTACACATTTCTTTCCACATACAAGGCTACCTAAAATTGTTATTCCTCCATTCAATGGAGAACCAGAAAAATGGCTTCCTTTCAAAGGACTTTTTGTTTCAGTAGTGATTGATAATTCTCATATACCAGATATTGAAAAATTGCAATATTTAAAAACCCTCTTAAAGGGTTCAGCTTTTCAATTAGTACAGCATACTGCGTTGACGGCGGACAATTTTAAGAAAACTTGGGATTCACTTACAGCATTTTACGAGAACACTCGGTTACATGTTAACACTACATTACAATCCTTAATGAATCTTAAACGTATGACGAAGGAATCCGCTAAAGAGCTTGAGTTTTTATATTCTAACATAACACAACTATATCGTACTTTTGAAACTTTAGAGCGTCCAGTCAGTACGTGGGACGATTTCTTAGTCTTCATATGTTCACAAAAATTAGATTCAGAAACTGCTAAATTATGGGAATCTAAATTAGGCTCGTCTAAAACTCCTCCTTTGTGGACTCAATTCAAAGATTTTTTATTTGAGCGTATGTCGTCCTTACAATCTTATGAACGGTCTCAAAATGTTAAAATTCTGCAACCAACGAAACAATCGACAGCGAAAGTAAATCATCAAGGAAAGTCGAACTATGATTCTTCCAATCAACAAACCAATTGTGTTATATGCACGGAAGGGCATTTTATGTCATCGTGCCCTCAATACAATCAAAAACCTATACAACAAAAATTAGCTATTATAAAAAAATACCAACTTTGCTATAATTGCTTAGGCACACATCGTGTTTCATCTTGTCGAATAACTAGACGTTGTCAGAAGTGTGGACGTAAACACCACACTACTATTCATGAAACTAGAGAATCTACATTGAGTGAAAAGGAAAATTCTAGTAGTAATGCAGAATCTCTTTTAAGCTCACCTTAACTGAACCAGAATTATAATCACGATTAATAACGAATTTTTGAATTTAGTTAAAGGATTTTGGGAAATTAGAGAAATGTCAACTTTTAATAAGCCATTATCTGCTAACGAACAAGATTGCGAAAATCATTTATAGCTACGCATTCGAGAGACGCGAACGTGAGATACGTAGTAAAACTTCATTTTAAGGAATCGACGGAAAAACTCGGTAATTCTAAATCAAAAGCAATTCGGTTAGCAACGAATTTATTCAATAGACTTTCAAACAATCCAATTTACGTTAAATTATACTCGGGTTTCATTCAAGAGTACGAAGATTTAAACCATATGCAAAGAATTCCAAATAATCAAAACGAACCACAAAGGGTTTATTATTTACCGCATCACGGAGTTTATCGCGAACAAAGCTTAAGTACCAAATTAAGAGTTGTTTTTAATGCCTCCAGCAAAACAACTTCGGGATATTCATTAAATCAATTACTTCACTCAGGAGTAAAATTGAAAAGTAACTTATTTAATGTTCTCATTTGGTTTAGATTGTTCAAGTACGTTTTCTTTGCTGATATCGAAAAAATGTATAGACAAATACGCGTTCATCCTGATGATTGGGATGTACAAAGAATTATTTGGATATACTATTTAGGTCGACTCATTATTTTCATTTTGCTTACGGTTACTTATGGTTTAAATTGCGCTCCTTTTCTAGCCTTGCGCGCTCTCAAACAGTTAATCATTGATGAGGGAGCTAAATTTCCTTTAGCTATCCCTACCATGGAAAATGGAACATATATTGATGATTTTTTCGGAGGCAAAGATACTCTAGAGAAAGCTTGTAAAGTAGCAGACCAGGTAAATAGGCTCTGCATGGCGGGCGGTTTCACATTGAAAAAGTGGATTAATAACGATCCTTACGTTCTTAAATTTATTCCTAAACAGAATCGAATTAGTGCGTCAACTATTCAAATTGATGATTCCTCAATTGTTCATGCTCTCGGATTAGCATGGCATCCATCCACGGATCAATTTAATTTCACTTTACGTTTAGATGAACCGAAGACTATCTATAAACGAACTATCTTGTCAACTATCTCCAAACTGTTTGATCCGCTTGGATTCATATCTCCTATTACCATTACTGGTAAAATTCTAATACAAGAATTGTGGTCTAGTGGACTGGGGTGGGATGATTCACTCCCTCCTGTACTTATAGATAAATGGTCAGATTTTATAAAAAGGCTGCAAGATGCTTCAAACTTTACTTTTCCAAGATGGATCGGTTTTAATTCGATTGACTCATTTGAACTCCATGGGTTTTGTGATGCTTCTCAGCAGGCAATAAGTGCAGTAGTATATCTCAGATTTTGTTCTAGCGATGCATCCGTTACCACTACTCTTGTAGCTTCCAAAACAAAGGTCGCACCTTTGAAACGACTTACAATACCAAGACTTGAGCTTTTAGGAGCTGTATTACTCGTTAAATTAGTAAAATCTATCCTTCTTACAATGGGAAAACCTGTACCGATATTCGCAGGGATAGATTCTCAAGTAGCTTATACATGGATTACTAATCATCCTTCTCGTTGGAAGGAGTTTGTACACAATAGGGTTTGTTACATACAAGAAACATTGCCACAATGCAAATGGAGATTGGTGCCAGGAGTAGAAAATTCAGCAGATTTAGCAACTAGAGGAATTACTTCTTCTCAACTTACTGAAAGTTCTATATGATGGAACGGTCCTGAATGGCTTCCTCAATCCAGGGATACATGGCCACAGGTTTCTATTTCGCACATTAATGAAAATCTTGAAGAAAAGGATAGTAAAGTCTGTACTATTGTAACTACGAAACACACTAAGGTGTGGGATCTTCTTTCCCGATATTCAAATCTTACAAAATTATTAAGAATTACAGCTTTGTGTCGCAAATTTATTGCAAAGTTAAAACATGGAAAAGACGAAATACTAAAACTTACAAAGGGTATAATTCTCTATTTGTTTGTTTTGCAACTAGGCAATTTACCTGGAATTGGTTAATGATTACTCTACTGATTCATTCATCGTCCCAGAAAGATTGTTATAACAAATATTACAAAACTTTTGGTCCCACTGGTCCAAAGAATATTTACAACGACAGCTCTCTACTTATAAGTGGAATAAGGTTAATCCTTCGATAGCGGAAGGTACAATCATTCTTGTAGTTGATGAACGGTATCCTCCATCTAAATGGTTACTAGGAAGAGTGATCAAAACGCATTCGGGACCTGATGGTCATATCAGAGTGGTAACGATTAAGACACAAACCTCCGAGTTTAAACGACCAATCACTAAGATATGCCCTCTTCCAGTGAATACTCAGAAACCATAATCATTGTTCGTTAACTTGGGTTAACGAAGGCGGGCGGAATGTTTGAAAGCGCGATGAGACATTGAGGAGAAGAGGATGAATGTTGCCATCTATGATGTTTCATAGAAAGCACGAGCGATTTTGCAAACTCACTTCAGTTGGCGAATCTAGTTCCCTAGAGAAATTGTATAGCGTAAAGCGCGAGAGGCGCGACGTATCGATATTCAATTCATGTAATTGCCGCGTGAAGAAGAAAGCGCGCGTGCATACACAAGCTTGCGGCCCGGGCAACCGGCGTTATTCGTTTCTTGTTTGTCTAACAGTAAAGACATTTTTCTGACCTCCTGCCGTAACAATCTGAATTCGGTATTATATTGAATCCGAGTTATTGTAAACGACGAGTGTGATACTTGAAGTAACTGATTGAGAAGTCTGAGAGGATCTGAGGGACTGTAAGGAGAAGTGCGAGGAGATCCGAGGGACTATAATTGAAGCACGGCAGGACCAAGGCTCGATTCATTCGCCAACGTGTGAGAGATCGACGCCATTACTCCGTTTCTTGATGATGACGATGACGGCATAATATTGACGCCATTACTCCGTTTCTGGATGATGATTGATATGGATAAACGGAAAGGAAACGACTCTTCTAGAAGTGCTTCCACACACGGTGGACACTAATAATCAGGTAACTCTTAGATTTCTGGGTAAGAATCATTGATCCTCATAAACAGTATCGGTTACGATCATTGATTCCAGAAATCTCGAGAGATCTACCGTCCAGTAAAGGACGTTGGAAAAGCTTCCGCGCTCCAGCGAAGCATTTGTAAACAGGAACGATAATCGTTCTTCTCCCTTGAGTACTCAAGTTTTTATTTACGGGTTGCAACCATTATTCAATTATTCATTCGTGTTATTTCATTATGGCCAAGTAAAGTAAAATATTTAAGATTACGACACGTTTAATGCTATTTTCTGTGATAGTTAATTCACATATATTTTGATACATATTGCGAAGTGATTCAATTGTTTGGTCGGTGCGAGCGACTGCATAAAAAGTTTACGATAAGACATATATTGCCTCAATTGTTTTGAACAAGATTCGCCATAAAGTTAACGTTCATTTATTTGAAATTGTATTCAACGGTGTGAAACACATAATGTTGATTCATGTGAAATACTTAAAGTTTCGTTGCGAATCGTTGTGAATTAATGTGTTATTTAAGGTTATTATTTAACGCATTATTCACTTATAAATATTTATATATAAGATTATTTTGGATCATTACTAATTATAATATCAGCTTCTTGTTATGTCTAATAGTCTTTTCAGTGATTAAATAATTGGAAGATACTTTCAAGTTATCATATCATAGTGATTCTTTAACTTTAATTACCTTGTGAAATATTGTTATTTTACGTTCCAAGTTTCAAACGGAAATTATACGTTTGACTAATGACTTATATGTTCTCTTCATTGAACGGACTATTACAATGTGAATTATATATATTATTTCTTGATTCATGAGATTTTTGAATTTTGTCATAATGACTTATGAATGTGATTAAATTTGTTCTGTTATTTTCTCTAAATATATTATATATTTTGTCAACAATTAAAATCAGTGTTTCCTTCACCGCCATAGCCCACGATCCATACTGGTCGTGTACATATTCTTAAAATCGGACTATATTTAATTGTTAATAAAATACAAGTACAAAATACATTGCTAAATATTGTAATTATTTAAGAAAATATATTTATTCTGTTAATACATTACCCATTTCTTCAATTTCACTTGTTAGATTAGTTGTAGAAGTATCGGTAATATCTGTTATATTTTCTCTTGTTACAGAACTATTTGTAGTATTATGTGCAGATACATTTCCAGCTTTTTCTAAAATTTTGGACATGTCTAAAATATCAACTTTTGCAACAGGTTGTCTGTAAATCTGTTTGTGAATATCTTGGTGATGACCCATAAAATTAGCAACATGAGACACTTCAGTTTCAGTTAAATTAAGTGATAGGCATTTTGTGGCTATATGTTTACGTAAAATGGTGCCACGTAAAGTGCTGACATTTTCCGCTCCGCATGTAGCAGAATATTCATGCATTAACTTGCATGCTCTAACATATTTGAATTTTGTTTTGCTGCTACTTGGAATACCAAATAGGTAAGGATTTTTAAAAGATACTCCTGCTATTTTTCGATATTTCAAAATTGTTTCTATTGACTCTACCATTTGTGGGTTTAATAAAACAGGTACGGTCCGATTTAATTTTCCACGAACCGTAAAACGCACATATTTTTTAGTTATTTCTTTTTCTGGTGCTGGTAATTTTTTATAATCTCCATCTGCATCTGTCACTTTCGTTGAATTCTTATAATCATCTATCAAAGTTCTTTCTATTTCCCCTGCTCGCCGCCGATTAAAAACTTGTATAGTAATTAATGTTGTTTCCAAGAGTGATCTCCAAGCATTAAGCAAAAATTGATTTTGTAATATTTTCATGTTAGATGTTCTCTGCTCTTCTAAATACTTGTTAAATTTTACTATATCTGATGCTAGCGGAAGTTCAACCTTTTTTTGTCTATTTCTTTTAGATAGCGTTTCTCCAACAGTTTTGTTTACAACATCGCCGTAATCTTCATGCAATATTTTTTGAAAATTTTCAACCAGTTTTTGCTTTTTATCGTCATGCTGCTTAATACATTCATTAATTAAAACTTTACACATTTTTTTCAGCATTGTTCCTATAGTTAAAGCATTAAATGGCACATCATACATATCTGTTTCTTCATTATATTTGGCAATGACATTTACTGCTTTTACAGCAATATCATAATACTTTGGATCAAATAATATTTGTAGTTCTTGTATTTGTGGTTCAATTTGTTTTAATGCTTGTAAATATCGACCAAGAAGTCGTAACTGTGCTCGTATATAGTCATCTTGATGGTCTAATCTGTGTTTATGACAAAGATGATTGCCGAACAAAATTATAAGTAAATCATATCTTATTATATTACGAATATCGTCCTTTCTTATTATCGGAATTATTCTTGTTCTTAATTTGGTACAAGCTCGGTTATGGACTGATTTTGAAACACTTCGTGCAAGTTGCAGTATGTGTCGAGATGTATCTTTCTTTTTGCTGCAGAAACGAAAATGATGTCTAAGATTGGTCCTTGCATAGTGTCCTCCACATTTAGGGCACGGTAAAAAATTAGATCCATTCTGCTTTGCTCTATTGTTAGGCCTTCTTGTAACAATCATAAAGCCATTATTTATATCTGAATGTGTATTGAACTTATAATTTCCTTTCTTTCTGCAATGACCTATCATTGTTCTTCTTTCGTAAGAACCTTTGGGCAGTAACAAAAACTTTGCTACTTCTTCTTCATTGCTATGTTTTAATTCTAAATGGCGAGCAATTTTGGTTTGCATTTTGTTACAATACATACAAAAATTAGACTTTTTGTCTCCTTTTGGCCCTCGAGACATTTCTACAAATAAATCATCATCCTTGCAATAATTGATTCTCTGCCTTGTAACAAAATCACCTTTTAATGATCTTTTCGATTGAGTTTTGGATAATTCATACGTTGATTCATTTAAACAGTTTGATGCAGATTTATTTAGCGAGGAAGAATTATTTTCTGATTTATCAAACTGTTCATCATTTTCATTAATATCATTCGATTCTTCACTCTGAATAGACGGCACAAAATCGGAATCATCGTCATCTTCCATATCATTATCATTAGTCTCATTTTCGTCGCAACCTAAATAGAGAAATAGTATTATATTGTGTTCTTGTGTGAACAGCGACACAATCCATATATGATATTCTCAGGATTCATGTGTCACTCTTTTTACAAGGATATAATATGAATTATATACATATATGTATATACATATATGTAGATACATAATATGGAGACATACATCGGATATAATACGCAATTATCAGAATAGAAAAATAAATTTTTATATTAGTTTCTATATTAAATATATAAATATATAAAGTGATTGGAAATATAATCTAAATATTTTATTTTATTACTACAATATCATAGAATTCAAAACGTATATTTTAATGTTCTATTTACTCAGAATTATTCTACATAATAATATTAATATTATGTAATGTTTCATAAAAATAAAATGCATTCTTATACTTATACAAGTATATGTTCGCGGAAATCAATTTTTAAATAATTAGGGTAAATTTGGGTGAGATAGGCTTAGAGAAGAGATGGCATATTCATGTTCATTTGATACTAGATGGTGAGCTAGATTGAGAAAACATGGATGAGCCATCTCTCCTCTATGTCCA